CTGTCTTTCTACTAATAGTCTAAGACAGGGTAGGCTTTTTCCATCATGTGTCTCAAAATTCTTCCAGTTTCTGCCCACTGACTAATTCTAACACCATTACCACATTTTTTGAGTTTTTGTTATAGCAGCACTCTGTTTTTAGTCACTAAAATCTTTTGGAGTTCAACTAGAGAGGGAGAACCAGTAGGAGATACATAGTAAGGTATTTATTGCAGGGCATATGTGGTTGTAGGGACTAGCTAGGCAGGTCCAAAATCCAGAAAGCAGACTGTCAGGAAAGGCAAGCTGGACTAGTCATGGTCTGAGGCTTCTGTCCACAGGTGGAATATCTTCTTCAGGGAATCCTCAGCTCTGCTTTTTCAGTCTTCCAATGGACTAAACCAGGCCCTCCATGATTATTTAGGATAATCTCTCTTGCTTAAAGTCAGTTGATTATGGACTTTAATCACATCTACAAAATATCTTCATAGCAACACTTAGATTAGTGTTTGTATAACTGGACACTGTAGCTGAGTCAAGTTAACAACATCAAAAAGACTATCACAGGGGCACCTGGGTGGCTCAGTTGGTTAAGCATCGGACTTCGGCTCAGGTCATGATCTCCTTGTCTGTGAGTTTGAGCCCCACATCTGGCTCTGTGCTGACAGCTCAGAACCTGGAGCCTGCTTCGGATTCTGGGTCTCCATGTCTGTCTGTCTGTCTGTCTCTCCCTCCCCTGCCTGTGCTCTGTTTCTCTCTCTCTTAAAAATAAATAAACATTTTTAAAAAATTAAAAAAAAATACCGTCACAGTATCCTATATTATACTTCTTTCACTCACCACAACTGCCTCCTCATACACACAACAAAGTAATTTTCACTTGGGCGTTCAGGCTTTAAAGGGATTTCTTCTCAGAGATATCTTAAGAATCAAGATAAAATATTTCTATTTTATTGGCTTGTGGCACACAATAGTTCTTCAATTAGTGGTGACAGCTTTATGAGCTGCAAATTATTTCTCCATGAGGACTTAAAAGTTCAATGTACATTAGATATAAATTTCTTTTTGTTGGAAACAGCATTGGCAGTGTTTTAATAGTCTCTTGCCTTGCTGGAGACCAGCAGCACTGACATCACCTGGGAGCTTATTAAACATGCAGACTCTAGGGCCCCACCCCAGCACTACTGAATCGGAATATATGTTTTAAATAGCTCTCATCTGATTCTGGTGCACGTTAAAATTTGAGAAACACTGGTCTGCTGCAATTGCCTAGTTTCTTAACTGTTACCCCTGACATTTGCCTTTTTCTGTCACACCTCACATACCCAGGATGTGCTTTCCTTCTACAAATTTGAAAATAATTCTGGAGTCTAAAAGTTTTCAATATTTCATCATACATAGAGGTTAAAGTCCAAATGACCTTCAAAATCCACATGGCCTTCAAAGTTCTTCCTATTAGACTTCTGTGTACTTTTCCAGGTACACTTTTCTGAACACAACCAGGGCTACACTACTGTGTACTGTGTGTACACTACACTACTGTGTACTGTGTGATTGTAATACCTTGTGATGTGTAAGGTGCTATGCCTTTTTTTCTCTGTGCCTTTCTTTCCATTCTATGTTCCACTGAATGGAGTGCCCTACACCAACCTGGCTGAACTATGGGAATCCTCCCTTGACTCCTTGAGGGTATAAAGGACCCATGATGTTTATCTGGGTAATTGTACCTGATAACATAATAGATACTGATTATTTGTTAAGAGAAAAATAAATGCTCAGAGTATGACTACCCAAAATAGTTTCCAGCGATGCTGTGAAAGATAAATGTGGTTAACAATAAATAAACATAATAGAGTACTAGGTAACAAGTCCTGTTATAAAGGCATAGTTATTGTCTCATTGCATTTCATGAGATTTCAGAGGGGGTAATTATGATCGACTCCATTTTACAAAAAAGGAAACTGAGACAGAAAGAGGGTAGAGAACTTACTCAAATTCTCATAATTAATGTGCATAAAAAATAAAACCAACTCAGGCAATTAGATTCCAGAGTCTATGTACTTGCTATATGGCCTTGGATGCATACAAAAATATTTTTCACAGTCTTTTATAAATGTAAGTGTTAAAGATTTGTGTGGTAATTACACATATAATCAATAGTTATGATTGTCACTTCAGTTTTAAAAACTTTATAGAAACATTTAGCACACCGTAGAAAGGGTGAAGTACTGTTTTAATTAAAACTACATTCAGTTAACAGCAAACCTTTTTGAATGTCTATTGTATTGAGTATCTGTGCTTTTTTGCCTGCTTCCTCTTCAGTAAGGGCACCCTAGTTTTATTTTGGGATACCACTTTTCCCCATTCTAAGTTATTTGGTTAGGGTGAGTGAGATCAACTCTCCTCCCAATCCCTGTTTTCCAGGAGTGCACAGGTGGCTCATACCTGGATGGCCATCGTATTCCAACTCATTAGCCACTGTGACTGGTGCAGGGATGGGCCTATGACCCAAGGAAGCCCAAGAATAAGACTCAGTTTGGTACCTATTAGTATGCTGGTTGATTGTCTAAAATTATAAGAGGGGAAAAGTGAGAAGGGAAGTCAAAAAGGGAAGAGGTGAACCAGGAGAGAGTGGAGTCACTGAAATCATTGCAAGAGTTTTAAGAAGTGATGCATCAATATTATGAAATTACTAGTTGAATAATGTTCGTTTTTGAAACTATCAACCAAATACTTAGACAAAATATTTTATTCATTTTAAGTAACTATTACTTCAGTCATGATTGACTGTTCCCAGCAGGATCTGTTTCTGTGTAAATAGGCATATTATTGATTAAAAAAGAGAAAATAGATATCTCATTATTTTCTTTTTCAAATCAAAATTTTTCCTTTAAGGACTTTTCCTTCACTCAAGAAAATGCTGAATGAGTCAGAGTGTTAATCTGTTTTCTCTAGTAAATCCTATCTTATTATAGACATGTTTTTCAGTGTGGTAATAATTGCCTAAAAGATTGGTAGTGATTTATTTATACCCATCTACTCATTCAACAGCTCTTTATCAGGCTTCAGATATGCAGCAGGCTTTGTGCCAGAGGAAATGAGACTCAAAGTTGCCCCCTAACCTAGAATATAAGCTCCATAGGAGCCCCTGATGGAGAGCTTGCGGCCTAGTAGACATTCAGTATTGGATCACGTTATCAGAAATCCATACCTACAGATGTGGGGTGTATTTCTGTAGTAATTTAACAATGGAAGCTGCTGAGAGCCACGGTTGGCCTTGAAGTATCACCTGTGACTCAAACATGAATTTCGGGCTTGGGCCTCTGTACTTCTTTTCCTGATGGTAGTTATTCCACGTAATGCTCGGGTTTGATGATACTTATTTGCAGTAGCTTGCAATGAAAGGATAGATTATACTTAGTATAAATATGATTTTGTATAATGGTGTTGAAATGACACCCTGTTACCACAGCAGACAATGAATGTGGTCCCTCTTAGTGTGTTGAATGGTGGCTTCCCCCCCAAAGTATGTCCACATTCTAAATCTCAGAACCTGTGAATGTGACCTTATTTAGAAAAAGGGTCTTTGCAGTTGTAATTAAATAAGGATCTTGAGCTGAGATCATCCTGGATTATGTGAATGGTCCCTAAATCTGATGACAAGTGTCCTTGTAGGAGACAGAAGAGAAGAAGACATGGAGGAGAAGGCCATACACAGATGGAGGCAGAGATTGGAGTGATGCAGCCATAAGCCAATGAATTCCTGGAGCCACCAGAAGCTGGACTAGGCAAGGGAAGTTTCCCTCCTAGACTTTTGGGAAGGAGCGCGGACCTGATTTTGGAGCTCTGGCCTTCAGAAGAGTGAGAGAATAAATTTCCTTTGTTTTAAGCATTAAGTCTGGTGGTTCGTTAAGGCAGCCCTAGGAAACGAATATGCTAGTTCATAGGGGATTATCTAATTAAGGATTCTGTTGTGTTGTTTCATTTCACAATAATTTGGGGAAGTCAGTATCTCTACTCCAATTATTGTCTCTATCTAATGGAGACATTTGTCTCTTTTTTGTGGTTTGATAAAACCCAAAGGTTAATGCTTCTAACCACAGTGCCCCAGAAAGTCCATTCAGGGCGCAAATAGGAAATTTCTTTTCTTTAAAAAAATTTTTTTAGTGTTTACTTTTGAGAGAGAGAGAGGGAGCACGTGAGCAGGAGAGGTGCAGAGACAGGGAGACAGAGAATCCGAAGCAGGCTCCAGGCTCTGAGCTGTCAGCACAGAGCCCAGTGTGGGGCTCCAACTCACCAACAGTGAGATCATGACTTGAGCCAACCGACTGAGCCACCCAGGCACCCCACAAATAGGAAATTTCTGAATGAAGTGGCTTCAATATGTGGTCTAGAGATCTAAATGCTCTTCATAAAAGTGTCACTGATTCTGAGAGGATATTCCTATGGGTCAAGTTTCATTTAACAAAGCTCACAAGTTGATAAAGCGGCTGGGCCAGGAGCCAAGACACGTTGCTTCTGGCCCTACCCATCTCTGGATTACTTTCTCGCTGTGTCTCTGATGCATCTTCCTATGAGGGTATTAGGCAAGTTCATTTCTAGAGACCTTTGAAAATTAACCATCCACCCAATCCAGAGTATGTCCACTTCCCTTTATTCTTTCTTTCTCTCCCCGTTGGGTTCCTTCATATCACCCCTCATAACTGGTAATGTTATGAACACTTGCTAGTCTGTCATTAGTCCAAGTTGAAGGAACATCATAATTGTATGTAGCATGTTGTCTGACCCATAGTAGGCCTTCAATAAAATTGTATTAATAAATAGACAGATTAGGGAGTAAACGTTTTGAGTGGAGACTTATGAAATGTCTATTACTTAGGGGCTGTATTCCGTTCAAGGACGGATTTTGTTTGCTTGGTTTTTTTGCTTGCTACATCGAACGCCATTAAATTTCAGGACTGCAAGAGAAGTAAAGTGGTCATTTAGTCCAGCCTCGCACAGACGCGTAAGTGCCCTCTTCAGCCTTCCTGACAGGCATGACCAACATGCTTGGCGGGAACATCCTTGGTGACTTGGTGACAGGAAACTCACTACCTCCGCCCTTTGCCAATTTGCTTTCCTCTCCCACCCCTCTCAGTTATTGCAATCTTTGCTGTAGCATTTTGCGCCCCTGATGCAGCAGAGGCCCGCAAGTCTGGGAGTGGGAGGAACCCCGCTGGAACCCCTAGGCCCAGCCGGGAGTCTGAGAAGCCCCAGCTGGGGCTGCGGTGGGCGCGCAGCAGCTAACTGCTGAATGTAGCAGCGGCGCCGCCTTCCTGCTGGGATCGCCTCGCCTCTCCGCCTCCCTCAGGCAGGGGGTCCTCCTTCTCAAGCTCGTCGCTGCTCCAGCCCCAGGCCCACGGCCACGCGCAGCAACGTTCCTCTTCGCAGCTCCGGTCACCTGCACGGCCGCCCTCGGCGCTGGGGTCCGCTGCCCCCGACCCGGAGCTGGGGACCAGGGCGCGGGGCGCGCGCGGGCGGCCACGGGCTCTTTCCTCCCTTCTCCCCACCCCACGCGCTCCCCCTCGGCCCCTCCTCCCCACACTCCGCTGCCCTGCGCCCTCCGGAGAGTTGTCCGGCACCTTGGGCGAGGAGTTCGGAGCTGCCCCGCCGCAGAGCCCGCGCGGCCCTCAGAGCGCGAGCGACGCAGGGGCCGGAGCCCCGCCGCCGCCATCTCTGCCTTCTGTGTGGGTTGGACCCCGGCAACGAGGTGGGACCCGCTTCTCTCTCCTGCACCCCTTACTGCCACCTTTCCCGCTCTCGGACACTGGAGGAGCGGGACGCTGGGGCCCGCGTGGCCGGCGGGGAGCCCGCGGGCCACTTGGGGGCCGGGAGTCAGGGGACAGCCCGGCGGCGCCAGGAGGGGCGGCAGGGGCTCTGCCCCCCCCCCCCCCCCCGCCCGGGGTGCGGGGGGCTCCCGGGGCGGGCGGAAGACAGGGACGCGCGGCTGTCGGTCGCCGGCCGCACGTGGGCGCGCACCTGCCAGGCGCCACCGAAAGGCTGCGCCACCCAGCCAACTTCTTTTCCAGGTCTCCTTCCTACTTTGGAAACTGAAAGGACTGCGACATAAACCAGTAAGCCCTGGGGCTCGGGGAAGGGTTTGTTGGTTTGGCTGCCCAAAGAACAAACTTGTGCTTCAGGGGTGGTTTAAATGCCAGCTTCTCTTTTTCCCCCTCTCCCGCTCTCCGCAAGCAAATGTAAAAAGCGAAACAAAATAAACCCAATCCCGACCAAAGCACTTATTTAAAGGGATTCGTAGAGGTGAGAAAAACAGACCTAACTGAGGAATCATTGGGAACCCCAGGTACGGTGAGGCCGTCTAAGAAATCGGTTGTTGCTGGTGCTATTTCTAGAACTTGTGTTTGCAAACAGGCTGGCTCTGTTAAGCCTGAGAGTTCCTTCTGTTGAGGGGCTGCCTGGAATGCCCTCTGTTAACACGAATTTCTGTACGTATTAAGGTATATTGAAACAAATACTCTTTCAGAGTCAGAATATCTGGATTTTGACGTGATTTGCCATTTATTATCCGTGACAGCTGTGGTTAGCTTCACCTCTCTGGGCCTCATTTTCCTCATCTGTCGAATTAGAGGGTTGAGTTAATATTCTAGGGGCCTTTTAAAATACTTCAGGTATTTTCCAACTTAAAAATGTATAATTCTGTGACTCTTTAACATGTCACAAACATTAGTAGATTCATAATTTCATGAGCATTTGTTTATATGCATTTATGACTTGTGCTTTTAGGGTTTTCCCACCCCAAATCAAGAGAAAAACGCTTGGGGCGCCTGGGTGGCTCAACTGGTTAAGCGCCTGACTTAATTTCAGCTCAGGTCATGATGTCACAGTTTGATGAGTTTCAAGCCCCACCGCAGGCTCTGCCCACTGATCTGCCTGCAAGCCTGCGTGGGATTCTCCCTCTCTCAGAGAGAGAGCTCTCACTGTCTCTCTCAAAATAAATAAACTTGTAAAAAAGAGAAAAAGGCTTATAAAAGAGTTCAGAAATGTATGGTTTATATGTAAATATTTAGATCATCTCTCACTCAAAGGAATTATGTTCAACTTGAAGTCAATATTTATGACACTGCAACCGAAACATGTGGCCTTAGCACTGCACTTACTCTCTTTTCAGTATATTTGGAGGAAGTAAAAATTGTTTTGGAGGAAAACAAAATTGCACCTTTCCTATCAATTACTTGTCTTGACCAACATTTGTTACTTTTTAGCATAAAGTTGTGTGCAGAATATTAAAAAAATGGTTTCAGACCATTTCAGAACCTCTCTGAAATTAAACTCAATAGCAGAGATGCCAATTTTAGTAATGCACTTTAGTTGTCTTGGAATGAAGCCCAGAAAATAGCAAAGGTTAACTAAATAGATAAACCAGAAATTAGGAATTGACACACACACACGCATGCGCGCACACACACATACAGTTGTCAGAGAAGTGTGTGCTACAGTGTCAGTGAGCCTTTTATTTACTTTTGATAAAAACAAACAACAGACAGCCGTTGGTCTGTTTAAGCGCACAGAGGCTGTGAGAAAGAGGGGCTTTTGTTGTTACTTGTAATATCAAATTATTGGAGATGCAGTCATCAGTAGTTAGATTTAAAAGTGGGGGCGCCTGGGTGGCTCAGTTGGTTGTGCATCCGACTTGGGCTCAGGTCATGATCTCACGGTTTGTGAGTTCGAGCCCCGCGTCAGGCTCTATGCTGATAGCTGGGAGCCTGGAGCCTGCTTCAGATTCTGTGTCTCCTTCTCTCTCTGCCCGTCCCCTGCTTGTGCTCTGTCTCACTCTGTCTCTCAAAAATGAATAAATGTAAAAACAAAAAATTAAAAAAGAAGAATAGATTTAAAAGTGTTTCAGCCTCTTTTTGGCGGCTTTGATGTAAAATAAAATAATGTGTTCCCACCCAGCCTTGCTGCGCATATAGTTTGGGAGAGTGGAATGGATTTGAAGTACACTGTTCTTCTATGAACACAGCCACTTATTTTCATTGCTTTTTCCCCTGTGGGCTGGAAGTATCGTCAGTCAATCTGGCATTTGTCTTCCCTCATATTCTCTGGTGAAGTAGATGATCATCTCCTTTAAGAGAGATGCTCAAAGAGTTACGTGAATTGGTTGTTGAATGAATAGAGTGTAGTTGAACTCAAATACCCTGCCTTCTAGGCGCTTATTGGAAAACAGTAGATGGATCTGACTGCTTAAGGTCTACAGCCAATTCATTCACGGCTTGGGAGCGTCCCCATGGTTGGCCGAAGCACTGTTCATCTTTTGTGATGAATTTACCAAGAAAAAAACCAGTCATGTCTTTACACTTAGATCACTATTATATAATCAAATGGTTTTTGTTTGTGAAAAGCAATCTCTCTGGGGGCCTTGGAAATAAAACTCTAAAATATCCAGAAAAAAAAAAAAGAAGACTTGTCTTGGCAGGTATTGTATTGCATTTTTCATACTGAGAACCAAACACACATATGAAAAAGAAAAAAAAAAAAACCATATCCTGTGGAGTTGAAAATGAAGAAAAGGGCTTATGGTCTCCTCTAATTCTTAAGATTTTATGTGATTTACAAATTCCGCTTTTAATTAAAACAGAAAGGCACAAATGTTTACCTATTGGACAGACCTAGTACATGTAACCTTTTGGAGGTTCAATTCAAATTTGGCCTGGTTATAATTTGGAATATTTCCTCTCACATACTTTTTATTAAACCTTTTGTGACGCAATGGTGATATTATCTGTTGTCTTTTCACACACGTGATCTTATTCATCTTTAATTTTTTAACCATTTGAATATATATATATATATGACATATATAGAGAGAAGGGGTACATAAAAAATGTGCTGGTTGACAAATAATATAGCACATCATTCCAACAGACGATGATAAGGCAAATACTTTATCATGAGTGAGAGAACATGCCAACATCTAGAAACTTCTTGCTTGTTCCTTTCTGATCACAAATGTAGTTTTACCTTAAAAAAAAAATGTTGTATTCACTTAAGAGGCATTCTTTCATGGATTCTCTTGCATTATGTCTTTGTGAGATTAAGCCATTTCTTCATTCCCCTTTAAAGCAAAAACTGTTTTTTAAGTTTATTTATTTCTTTTGGGGGGGGGGGGCCAGAGAGAGAGAGAATCCCAGCAGCCTTCTTGCCGACAGTGTGGAGCCCAACCCAGAGCTTCCTCTAAAGAACCATGAGATCATGACCTGAGCCAAAATCAAGAGTTGGATGGCTTAACCAACTGAGCCACCCAGGTGCTCCAAAACTGATGTCTCTTAAATATTTGGTCCTAGAATCCATGACTGTCTCCTAGTATAATGAGTCTTCTCTGATATAAGAAATGTAAGTTTTGTCTGATGTTTTTCTTAGGAGTTCTTGAACATCTTCTTTATTACAGAACCACATATTTAAAAAATTACTTTAAACCACATCTTTAAAACATTCATTGTCTGTTTATTGATGCCATATAGACATAAACTTGTCCTTGAAACAGATTTTCAAAATAATATTTCTATTGGACTGTAATTCACATTCATAATGTTCATCTTTTTATGGGTACTATTCACTGGTTTTTAATACATTAACTGATTTATGCAACCATCACCACTATCTAATTTCGGAACATTTTTATCACTCCCCGCAGAAACTCTGTACCCATTAGCACTTACTGTCCAACCCCGCCTCCTCCCATCCCTCAAAATCACTGATTTACTTTCCGTGTTTACTGATTTGTCTACTCTCGATATTTCACGTAAATAAAATCATGGGGCCTTTAGTGACCAAATTCTTTCACTGAGCATGTTTCCGGTGTTCATCTGTGCTGTAGCATGGGTCAGTACTTCATTCCTTTTTTATGGCCAGATAATATTCCATTATATTGGTATACTACTTTTTGTTTATTCATCAGTTGGTGGACATTTGGGTAGTTTCCACTTTTTGGCTATTATGAATAATGCTGCTATTAACGTATGTGTGCACATTGTTATATGAATATATGTTTTTATCTCTTTTGGGTATATACCTATGAGTGGAATTGCTGAGTCATATGGCAACACTATGTTTAACACTTAAAGATCTGCCAAACTGTATGCCAGAGCAGCTTTCATCCTTTTATATTCCGCCAGCAGTGTGACCCTTGAATCTACATTGCCAACATGCCAAGCTCATTAGACATAGCAATAGTGGATACGTAGTGAAAATTACTGTCAAATTTAAGTTTCATGGGCTTGGAAGTTTAAAATCTTTTTCAGAACTGTGAACACTTAATATGTTCAAGGTAGACTATAAGAAATTTTTGTGGATATTGATTCTCATTGAATGAAAGTCAGCAAGTCACACATTCTTCTATTAACTTAGTAGGCTTATGGGTACCAAGTAAAGTCTTCCCCAAAGTCAATATAGTCTGCTTTCAGTTAGTGCAGTCTCTCAGTGATCTGCTCCACTGGGTGTGAGCTGTGGCCCTGGCTAGCACAGCATGGAGACTTGCCCAGGAGAGCACAGAGCTTGGGAAGCCCCTGCCTGGTGGGCGAGTGGATGATCCTGAAGATGAGAGTCATGTATTTGAATCACACTAGAGTACTATGGACTAGCAAAAGAAGATGACCTAACTAGAGACTCTCTTAAGGGGCATTGTGTCACTCATCTTAAAGTCTTTGCCAATTAATGGGAAGAAATCCAGAAACAATAGAGACTTATAAATGTGTACTCATATGGGTATAATAGTGAATGAGAAAGAGAAAGAGAAGGAGTAGGGGGTAGAGAGAGAGAGGCTTTACTCCTGGGCCAATAATTTCTTTAAGGTTTATGGGAACATAAACATTTTTATCTGTTTTTACTAGATAGTGGCTAAAGATTTGAGATAAGTAGAGCTTCAGGAGCTTCTATATTGGTATTATAATAGGCTTTAAAAATGTGAACTCATGTTTAAGAACAGCTGCTACCAAATATTTGTTTTGTGAAGGCATAGGACAACTTAGTTTTTCTCAGAATTATATTTTCTCATTTTACTTTAACTAGCAGCTGTTATTTGGGTGTCTAAACCTATGAAAATTGAGAAACTATGAAC